ACCTTCAGGATCCTTTAGGTTTCTATTGCACACCCCCGACGGCAGTCGAGGAGTCCACAGGAACATAGGACATGACATGACAGACCTTCTCCACAGGAACATGGGTGTTCGTGATGAGCCGTTTGATGGAAGCTTTTAATGAACATGGACATTCATTCCACCCAAATGGAAACCCCATGGGAATCAGACCAATGGGGGCCTCCGTGAGCAGGGGAATCAGACCTGTCGGGGTTCCCATTCTCCAAAGAGCCGATGGAAGCCGTGGTTCTTCGACCCGACCGGACCCTCGTTGGAAGGCGATGAAACCCCACCAAACAGATACAGAACAGGGACTAATTAACTCCACTTTCAAGCCATTTTTCTTGCAGGGAGGCTCATGGCTTTTCAGTCCGAGCGTCATGGCGAGGCCACATAGTCACCCTCCGAGTCAGGTAGGACTCCTCCGTGTCCCGCTTTTGGAGGTCATGACACATCCCGTAGGACACTTCCATGTAAATGTATGGAGCATTTGCCTACATTGGGGATCATTGGGGTGTCTTTGTATTCAGAATAGGCATAGATAATCATATATATATAGTCATATATATAGTCTCATATATATATATTTATTATATTCCATAGATCCATCGTGTCTGTGATTTTATGATTGGGGCCTCCCCTCCGGGTCAAACACCACGCTCGGATCCGCTGCGTTCTGAGCGGACCGCCCTCGGCGGTAGGAAGAAGGCGAGCTTCTTGACAGCTCAGGTGCGGCTCGGGGCGAAGAGGGGATGTGAGTGGATAAATATATATATAGAGATTTAGATGTTAACCAAGGTCAGTTTGAATCAATGGAATCAATGGTCAATGTGATGATAACCAATGTCAGTGGATGAAATATGTGTTGAAGAATGACCCATTTGGGTGGTGATGTTCAGAGATTTTGATGTTACCTCTACTTGGGATGATTGAACCCACTGACAAATATGTTTCAACTGGGTTGAGACCACCAACCAACAATTTGTTGCATGATGTTGCAATGTTTCCTAACTTTGTGTGAACCCTTCCCTTCCACCTTCAAGTCCAATTGAACCTGAAGGGACTCGTCACATGAATGCCAGTGATTGCCATGAATCATGAGGTGTCTCTTTGCCATCACAAAAGGTCCCAAGATGTCCCAAGGTTCTGAGGGTTTCTTCTTGAAGGTGATTGAAGTGCTTCAAAAAAGGGAACCCAGTCCTCAGGTTTTTGCAATCCAAGTGCGTCGGTGGCATGTACTTTGTTGTTTAGACGAGGTGTTGACCCACTAATTTATACAATAATATATATATATAACATATTATATATATTTATATATGTATATTCAAGTTATATATATATATATCCAAGATCCATACATGCCATAAACTTTTTCTCATTCTATTCCCTTCAAGCCAAGTCAAAAAGCATGGAGCCAACTGACCACTGGTTACTGACCACTTACATAGTGTCAAGTCTGTTTGACAGACATCTTTCTGATTCAGAGTATATACCTATGGCACATCACAGGAGACAAGAACGTTTATCATACTAGGTATGTCGGTATGTGTTTTTAATCTGACAATTGTACATGCATGTTTGCATATACAGTACTGCTTTCATAAAATCCAGCAGGGTCGATCCGGAGTCGAACCCTCCACGAGTTGTTACACTTTTTTTCTGCACTGTAGGTTCCTCTACAAATTGGGTTGACTGGGTTGACAGATTGGGTCGTGGACTTCTCCTTCGCAGGAGACGGAGAACGTCTCCAACGAGATTTTCGCGCACAACATCGATAAGCACGGAAGCTCAGCTTCCTGGCCACGGTCAAGCTCACTCAGTGGGCCTCGGACAGGGAAAAGGCAGGTCATCCGATCATTGGAAGGTCATCCCAGGTATGTAATGTGTGCTGACTTCTTATTTGCATTACATGAATAATTAGGTGACAAGGCAGAGCCGTAGGCAATCGCAAGAAGAAGTAAGTCATCCCAAATTACTTTTGAAAGTCCGCTTCAGGGCCGATCTTGGTCACGAACAGAGCCTCATTGCAGCTCCCAGAACGGCCTTTTGAGTGGTGGTGAGCAGAGAGTAGGTCTTTTTTGATCGGATCGGAGACGCCTCGGTATAAGGGCAACATCATTTTCTTCGGTAACTGAGGCGGTTCCAGTTTGTCATGATGTGGGTTGATGCATTAACGTGTATTTGTGCACCATGGTGGACCAAAAATGGCATATGAATTATTGAATCAATGGTTTCCACTGATGAGTCTCATCAAAATCCGATGTTGCTCTGCACACTTTGAATATTTTTGATGCGCTTGTCTTTGTGGGAAATGCAGGCGCAGTAGTCAAACCTTGATAGAAATCCACAAGACCCCAGAAACATTAATGAAGCCCTGTCTTCAGGTCATTTGCTTGATGTTACTCAAAACTTGGAACCACTGGACAACGCTCACTGGAACATCCAAGTTTACGTCTCATGAAACAAAACCAACCGAGTCCTCGATACCAAGAAACTGGTCGTCCTAATTCGAAGGCCACCCAGATTTGGTCGGCTTTTTGGTCGACCAACGGAGCGACCGAGGTGGCCTACGACGTAGCCGCTGAATTCGTTTGGGGCGACCGGGCGAGGTGGATCCTGGTGTTTATCCGCTATCAAGTTGCTATCCTTTGTTTTTTACGGAACCACATTTGTGACCAAACTGCCTGATATCCATTGAAGGGCGTTCTTCACGCGAAAAACGATGGAGACACCAGACCATCTGGCTTTTGCGCCCTTTTGAGCCATGTTTTGCTGGGGCTCATGCTGTTTTCGGTCTCCATGACCGCAGCTGAGCTGGCGTTTAAGATTGATCTTGCATGCCCAGAATGCCCAGGAAGGAGCATACGAAGACTAGCCAGATGCTGAGGTGTTTAAAAGTTTTAGACAGCAGAACGACCTTCCAAGTTGGTTGCGAGATGTTTGTGATCACCCAATCTTCGATCAACAACAGACCTGGCTCCCGTTTCGCCGCTGCTCATTGAAGGTGCCCACCTGGGCAGATTCGATCAATCTCTGCTTGGCATCGATCCGTTGCTCGACCATAGATCCAAACCCAACTCCGAGGCATTCGTCGTTGCCATCGTGCGACGACCCCAGTGGGGACCCCATGGGACCTTCACCTAAGATCTGGATGAAGATCAAGAAGGTGCTGGCCAATGTGGACTCTTGTTTGATAAACCTCCTCCATTTGGATTGAACAATCTCTTGAGTGAACTTCATGATGAGGGGGGTTACTAATCAAGAGTCTCCATCAGTTTCACATTTTCTAGCATATAGGTGATACTCGTATGGCGCCCCCTAAAGGCCCTAACTGCTTCACATTGTGGCCATCACATGCCTGTCACACCAGGTCATGGGGCCGACCCTCCAAACCACCCACATCGATGCACGGCCTGCTTTGGGACGTCTGAACCAAGACGTGTCCCTCTTCCGTTGGGCTGCCGTCGAGGTTCCCGTCGGAACCGCCGAAGCCGTCCAGCGCGGGTTTCAGGACCCGTCACGGCAATTCTTCGCCGGCGATTGTAAAGTTGTCGCCCTACAAGTGCTGAGTTGCTTCACACACGATGTGTTGCTAGCAACCGTTTGGATCAAGAGTGATACCAAGAGATTGAAGAGTCCAGCAATCATACAATCATCATATATATAATTTGCCAGTGAATAGCAGCATTAATTCAAGTTATTATATGTTGTTAACTGTTATATATATATATGAGTGTTTCTTAGTTTTTTTGACCACACTATATTATACAGTGCTGCCAATCCTTTCAAGGGGCAGGAGTTTGGCAATTTGGTTTTATGGTTTTTGCTTATCTTGGTCTCAACTGAGGGGTTGGTTCTAGTTTCAACCTGACCCATTTAGCATTTGTTGGCGTTTTTGACGCAACGGTCAGTGAAGAGCTCAGCTCCAAACCGGCCCAGAGGACGCGCAGCGACCCGTCTCGGGCCAACGGGGACATCTCCAGAGACGGGGGGGATCACTCCCACCTTTTCCCGCCAAATGGCAACGGAGTGGTGAACTCTAAATGTTGCCTGCCACCCATGAGAGCTTAAAGACTCTCCGGGGTCAAAGATGACACCCGAAGAGTTCGGGAATTCCACATGTTCCGCTGTATCTTTCGATGTGCACATGGCAAACGCCACGCCCAAAAAAGCAGCGCTGTAGATGTGTGTGTGTGTGTGTTGGTATGTTTTGTTGGAGGAAAATCATGGTGTGGGGTCACAGTCAAAAGGCCCTTGAACATTGAGTGTCGAGCTTCTTTGGTTGGGCAGCCGACAGCACTTAGTCAAACATAACAATTGGCCGCAGTCAGTAGGACCACCGAAGACCATGTTGAACACATCTATACATGCACTATTTGGCAATGGCTCAAGTTTTAGCCATGTTGGATCAGCCACTTCCTTTAGGGCTGGAGCAATGGAGATTATATCCGTTGCAGGTGCCCTTCTCACCCAGCTTCATGAAGAAGAATTGGGCTACATGGTGGGGAGTGGAAAATATGTTAGAGATTTGAAGAGGCTCATTGCCACAAAGATTGGATACTCAAGATTTCGACTTAGACTCTTGAGCGAGGAGATGGGTGAGCTACAGGATGATATGCCTGTCAGACCACTACCAAGTTTGAAGTTAGTAATCTTGAACTATTGTGCGCCTGAGGAGGCCAATTGACAGACACTACACCTTGCGTGTGAGAACAATCAAGTTGTCGAAGTTACAAGCTTGCTTCAGAAACCACTGAATCCTAATGGGACAGGTGCAGACATTGAACCTCCACCTATGCTTCTTGCTGCAGAAAGGGGCCATTTGGAGGTGGTGCGGCTGTTGCTCGAGGCTGGAGCTGACCAGAACGCAGCAAGGCAAGATGGGGCAACCGCCTTGA